CTATTGCGAATGGATGGATATTCCTCTGTAGAGCATCAACTGCGCCAATGCTTTGCTTCAGACATGTACATGCACGCACACATGCTTGCCTAATCCAGCCTGCACTGCTTGTCCGTTCACAGGACCACTGAAACCGGCTCAACAGGCGCCTTAGCTGCTTGCATCATTTGGATTGATTGAAACAACAGCAATTTCATTCCAAGTGTTGCATACTTCAACGTGTCTCACGCTTTTTGTAAAGCTGGACCAAACAGCTCTCTACCATCACCCACGGCTGCAGTGCTTGTCTACTGTGCTTGATTGGCTGTCACACGAATTTGGACCACTTGGATGACATTGAACGCAAGTCCGCAGCACGAGCAGCCTGCGTCGCCTCATGCATTGAGTCTCATGCCAAACTTCTCTTCAAATCTGGCATCATGCAAAGTGTCGCCACATGTTGCAGTCAACGTGTACGGGCAAATTGTCAGTCCATGCACACGCACCAATCTAACATATTGAGACACCCCTAATACTTCTTTTCGCGTATTTGACTAAAAGCACGCCGATTCTGCCTCGCTCGCACCCATCTGAGCGAATTTCAACTCAATCGACCTTTTTAGCCTACCTTATCAAAATTTGCAAATTCATGCAACGCAGCTGCTTACGCTGTTCACAAGAAAGACGATCTACCAACGCAGGATACAGAAAAATAATTTCACACCGTCTAAAAACCATTTCAATGAGAACTTGAGGTGTTAATATGCACAATGAGAGCTTTCCAGTTATTAAAGTCCTTCAAGCTGTGGAATCGCAGATGTGGCAATTTAGCTACGACGAAGCCCATGAACGCATCATCCACCCACAGAAAGCGCGTGTAGGCTTCGGCTACGACCAGCTCCGTGAGTACATCTGCACCGACAAACGTCACCGCTCCGCTTGCGTAAGGTGGGTACTGCGGCCACGGAACCTCATATCGAGACACAGCCCACTTATTTTCACTGGCGTCCTCAATCGCACGAATCACACGCTCCCAAATCATTAGTTGTCCACTGAGCAGTTGGCGACGATCCGACTTTGTCAGACCATTCAGGTAATTGAGCACACTCCTCGCGTTGAACACGTAGTCGTCGTCGATGAATAGAAAAACGTCGGATTTGCCTAAAACAAATATTGCACAATTCAATTTCACCTTCGCCACTTCAACTCCACACGCACAATTGCACCTCAGCATTGACTTAATCTTTGCAATGACTTGCTTCACAAAACTGCTGTCACAAGATTATAACGCATCTAGAACATGGTAACAGGCACGCTAAGAAGCTGCCTTAGGTTGATATAACGAAATTCCAAGGCCTTTTGTTGCTAAAACAGCATTTACCTTTCTGTGAATGCACTGGAAACACCAAAGCAAAAGATAAATGTAAAAGGTTTCACCTACTTCTCCAATCTCTCAACTGAACCACATTCACAATACAACAGGCTAGCCGAGAAGCAGTCTGAGGCGGTGGAATAAGAAAAGGTGAACACCAACGCTACCCGCTGACAGGCCATTCAACTGACTCGATTAATAAAAACACACTTTCCGAGATATCTCAGCCAATGTCTTTTCATGCTAGATCACACTCAGTCTTTCGTAAATCACATCACTTTGACGCCACACACACCAAGATTCAGAAGCACTGTGAGCTTCAACACTCGGAATGAAAAACAACACTGTGCAATTCAATCTTACGTTTGTGATTAGCACGTGATATCGGTGTGATGTATGAAAACGTGTCAAACACCAGAAAGGCCCACCTTGGCAAAATGCAGAAGCCCATCGATGGCTCGTTATGAGCTTGTAGGTTAAGTTCACATAGGTATCCACGTAGTCGCCAATGATCATGTCACCGAACTCGTCTGACTCCGCCAACGCTCTCTCCCGAGCCTCGGTTGCCCATCGTGCCCTCTCCACTGCATTGGCACCCGACGTCTCTGGCATTCGAATGTCGTAGCCACCGTTCATGTGGATCAGATTGCCTGCCACATCGGCGCGCGGTTGACCTAGTGAGAATACAACGCGAATGCGACCTGGTAGATTGCGATACACTTCACGAATGCGCCTTCTCTCGTCGAAGTGGTATGACGCAGATTTGTAGATAACCACAAGGTCGTAGACGTCCTTCGAGTCCTGGTCGTGAGGTGCACAGGCAGTGCGACTGGTGCGAATGAGTTTGATGTTAGGATTGGTGATTGGGGCCTGTTATATACCGATTGAAGAAAATGTCAAGTCGACATAAAGCCCGCATTGGATGTTGGAATATTGCGGTGCTGCGCTGTACACAGCTCATCCTTGACACACTCAGTCATGCCTGATTTGTCCAACTTAGATACCACAAGCAGATAGCACGTTCCAAAAACGTCTGCGGTGAAGAATGTGATTCCAACGATTGTGAAAAGAATTGTTTGGTGGCATGCAAACACCAACTTCTGCATTCACGTTGAGCTTTGCACTATAGCGTTGAGAGGTCACGTGTAATGCGCTGAACCAGGATTTGAATTTGGACCAGGCATGTTGACCTTGTTTTCCGTTATACCATTAAGCTGATTAATCAGGCAACATAGATGCAGAGTTTGGCTTGATGCAATGTGGCCACAAGTTTAGTGCGTAAAACTTCTGATGCGACAGGTGCGTTTGAGTTAGATGTTAGGATTGGTGAGTGGGGCCTGTTGCATACCGAGGAAATAAGATGTCAAATCGGCACAAATGCAGCATTGGATGTTGGGACATCACGAAGCTGCGTTGTAAACAACTCATTCTTGACACGTTCGGCCATGTTTGCTGTGTCCAAGTCAACTACGTGAATTTCAAGTAGATACAACAAGAAGCTAGCACGTTCCAAAAACGACTGAGGTGAAGAATACGATTCATGTTTAGCTGTGCACCATAGCGTTGTGGAGTCACGTGTAATGCGCTGAACCAGGATTTGAATTTGGACTGAGCATGTTGACCTTGTTTTTGTCAACACGAGAGAGGCGATTCATCGGACTGCACAGATACACAGACTGATTAATTGGAATAAAGAGTACAAGCAAATGGTGCAATGTGACTACACGTTTAGGGCCAAAAACGTCTAATGTGATGCAACTGAGAGACAAATTGATCATCTAGTGCGATTCGAGGGGTGTCGACTGAATGACTTCAGCAAACCACTGTCCACATGGTAAGTGAACATGGTTTGTAGAGTCAATGTGTGATCACATGACTCGAGTCTTCATACTAGAGGTAGTTGCATGACTGGCTATTTGCCAAGAACACAACATAATCCTTTCCGATGTTCCTAGTGGTTTTGCAACATAAAATCGGCCAAGGAAAGCAGCTGACTTGGCAATTAATCCGAGTGCACACATTTCCGCAACACATTCACCTTATCACACAAACTGTCTGCATACACACACATTCTGAAACTTACATACGGTGCTGGTTTCCCATTGGTAATGGCAGCCAGGGTGTCGGTGAGATTGATGGCCAACGGATACATGTCGTATCCACCCTCACCACCCTCCAACTCGTGACCCTCCAACTCGAACCAACGAAGTAGAGCTGATTCCTCGTCACCGTGTTCGCAGTCCTTATCAAGCATCTTCAATCGCTGGTGCAACCTCGTCTCCATGGGCTCAGACGAGGACTTCACTCGCACACACAACGTCAGGTCGTACCAGGAATCCGCACACGTGAGATCCTCTGGAACGCGCTCTGGTGGCCACCTATACACTTGTGGACCACGAGCACACCGACACGAAGAATTGGTCCCATCGAAATCGGGAATGTGATAATCCACCGCGTGATGTCCACGTGAAGCACACGAACTGCGATAGGTGACGGCATTCTGTGTTGACTTGTGCCATAGCATCAAAAAGATAAATGCGCCAAATGCAGTGCAAATGGTTAAATACGGTTTGATCCTTCTTGTCGAAATCATGCTATTTGTGGTGAACCTAGCTTGATCTAAGTTGAACGTCAACGCATCGGCCTACTAAATACGACGTGCCTCATTCTATTAACCAATCACAGGCGGCTGCGTTGTTATTGGACATGTATGCTTTAGCTCTTTGTGATTGTTTGAACCAAATTTTAGCAATGAGTTGAAATTGGAAGCAGCTTATGTTTGTATTGATTTCCTTTCAAAGTGTTCATTATAAAGGAGAAGAGTACTGCGAAATGCGCAATTCTCGTCGAAATGTCCGTCTGTTCATCTCACCTGTATGCCTAGAGTGTTTTCTTTTGAGTGCAAATTGGTGCTCCCAATTCAATCAACCAATCCCAAAATGCAGTATCTTCATTGGCTGATATATCAGGGTGACTTATAGTTAACCTGAGTGACGATGTCTTTTAACTCGCGGACATTCGATTCTTATGATACTGCCTCCATGGTGCTTGAGTCGATTATGTCCCAATCAGAAATTGACAAATGATAAATCTCTGCTTGGCTGTTTCCGATAGCAACTGCTGCAGCAATTCAAATAGGCACATGAAACTAAATATTCCAGATAACTTACGCTTCTCCATCGGTCTACCACACTGCCCATCGCCCTCTTACAGACATGCATTTTAAACGCATACTTCTTACACCAAACTAGTTCAAATAAAGCGCATTCACGAGTTGATTGGATGCAATTTTAATTGTCGATTACAGTTGGCGTTTATGGTGCACTCGCGCGCTATGCTCTAAAGGACTTGTTTGGTCAAAAGTAGATAAAGCGTTGTATTCGCTATCATCGGTCTTGCCTTTCTTCTCGAGCTGTTACGGACTGTCGACTAACAGGGTGTCGCAAGTTAGTGCTAACAACGCCGCGACAGTTGCATGATGCCGTCTCTTTCAAACTTCGTCAGTATTGAATAGCGTGAAATCAAGTCTCAAGAAGCTGAGGCCACTGACGCTAACAACATCAATGCGTCATCCGATTCCCGGGTTCCACAACATCCAATGGGACACTATTTGCGATTGTTCAACGAAAAGGAATTTGATCAGTTATCTTGAATTCACTCGACGTAGCGACATTCTTCCTGAGTCTAAATGTGTAAGGTCGAAATTAAAAATGACACCTTGCTACGCAAAATGATAAAAGCAATCTTGCAGTGGGAATGGGTTGTTTAGGTCTGGCGTTATCCTAGAAATTCCTGATTTTGCCTGGTGGCGGTGTGTCTATAAATTTCGTCTATCCTGGTGCGGCTTCAGAACGAATTCCTCACCGCCCCACATCCACGGTATGTCTTTGTTTGCGCAATGCATATTCACGTGGTGTTAATCACTCTTGCCCAGGCATATGCAAGCGAACCCATCTGAACCAGTTCAGAGACACTACTTTGGACTTTAGCAGAGACATTTTAAATTCCCTGCATGAACTCTCGTCATGTTCTGAGAAAGTGGGGC